ATGACACTTGTGCCGCCCTAAAAAAAAAAGAACTGTGCAAGTTTTTTTTGCCACCCCTACTTCTCAGTTTTATGAATTCCTTGAATTTTAAAGTCGCCAGGTTGGCAGATCTACATTTTAATTCATGGATTCTGTCAAAAAATATAGCAAACACGACAAGTGATAATGTTGACTTCATCGTTATTTGATCAGTGTGGTAAATCCAATTATACTAGTTTAATTGAAACAGCAGTGCTCATGTTTACTCTGAATAATTTAAATTAAGGTTGTGCTGAATGGCTTGCACATAATTTGTTTTTCTAAATGTAAGTCTTCTTTGCTTCAAATTTGGTCTGTCATGATATAAAATAGATATCTTCTTTCCTGTAAGCTGCTACAAATTTGCATTTTAGTGCTTCAAATTAAAAATTCTGCTACTCCGAAAATTGCTTGAAATTATATTTATGCTGTTGTACCGCTCTCATTTTGTTATTGACTAAGGCAGTCTTGTTTTAGTTGTTTTTTGTAGTTCATTGAGTTTCACCTGCACTGTGGAAATAATTGTGATTATACTCCGTACATCTGTCGATATACGCGGACAACATCTGCATCTGGGCATCAGAAGTCACGCATCTACACGTACGAGCCAGGCTTCTGACAGCGGCTACACTGATGCCAAACTACCTTCAAGGACGAGGACTGGAGCTGTCTCCTGATAAATGCTCACTGGTTGCGTTTGCGCGCAAGACAATGACGCCGTACCGCATCAGAATTAATGGACACACGATCAGCTATCAAAAGATCCACCGTTTCCTGGGAGTAATAATAGATCGTGACTTGTCTTGGAGCCCTCATATCGCTCACATGAACAAGAAACTGACCATGATCACCCACGTCCTAAGGTTTCTTGCGGGAAAATCATGGGGTGCATCGGTACAAGCCATGCTTCAACTTTACGCTGCACTTTTTCTTGGCTTCATACGCTACAGCCTACTGTGCTTGGCAAGGCCTGCATAACAAACGTACGCATCCTCCAGTCATTACAAGCTCAAGCTCTGAGAATATGCCTCGGGCTTCCGAGATGCGCATCCTCAGCAGCGACTGTCACAATCGCTCATGTACACCCTATCACAATCTACATTCGTGTCGATGCTTTAAGAACGTTCATAAGACATGCCACCCGGATTCAATCGCATCACCTCGCCTCCCTTCCAACTTCCAGGCCATGATCTGCGTTCTGCTCTAATATTGCCCCACATCGCACAGTGATTCCCACGAACTTCACGCACGCAGCAAGACCGTCGTTACCATTGTGGTGTCTACATTCACTGGAAGCCCTGATAACCATCCCCGGAATGCAAAAGAAGAAAAATTTGTCAAATTTGGCCCTAAAACAAACATTACTGTTTCTGCATGAGAAACACAGTGGACACATTCACATTTACACGGATGGGTCGGTCACTTCAACAAGTTAAACAGACGCAGTGGTAATTCCGGAGAAATTCATCACGATAAAGTTCAGGACTTCGCATCTGACATCATCCACGGCGGCAGAACTCCTCGCCATTCGTGTCGCTCTGGAGTTCCTAGTTCAAGAACGGCAGCAGACATGGTCAATCTTTTCCGACTCTAAAGCAGCCCACGAGGGCATTGCCTCGCCATATCGTCATGGACCAAACGAACAGCTAATTGCTGAAATACGACTGCTTCATCACCGGGCTATAGAGAAACAACACGACATAGGGTATCAATGGATACCAGGCCACTGCAGCATTGATGTAAATGACCGTGCAGATAAAGCAGCCCGATCTGCTCATGATTATCAAGAATGGACGCCGCTGCAAGGCTTCGATCACTTGCACGAGAACTGACACTCGCTCAGTGGAATTCACCGGCATTCACCAACGTCCGCCTTCATAATTTGGACCCACACCTACAGCTCCGTCTTCCATCAGGAATAACCAGAACTTAGGACACACTTTTGTGCCGTCTGTGCATTGGGGTGGCCTTTACGAATGCTTATTCGTTTCAAATCGGAATTGCCAGCAGCCCGACATGTGACAACTGTGACTGCGCAGAGACTTTCTCCCATCTTCTCTGCGAGTGTCCTCGCTTCAATGCGCCTAAAAAGAACTATCGAAGGTTTTAGATAGACTAGACAATTGCCAATCGTTGAAGGAAAGGGTATTAGGACGCTGGCCGCGACCGTCCTCTGCACGCAAGGCATTGAGAGCGTTGTTGCGCATTTTGTGGGCAAGTGGTCTTAGAGACAGACTGTAAGCAGCGTCGTGGATCGTCTGATGACCTTTTTTTTTTCAACGTCTCTTTTCTCTAATCCTTTACCCCCCCTTACCCCCTTCCCCAGTACAGGGTAGCCAGCCGGTCTGAAAACTGGCTATTCCCTTTTCCTTCCTCTTTCAATGCTCCTCCTCCTCCTTAGAGTTTTAGTTTTGAAGTTCTCGAATGAATATTTTTAGTGGCTGGGAAAATTGTAGGAATTATTTGATACTAGGGGTGTGTGAATATTCAAAATTTCAAATATTTTTCTAATAGAGTTTGCTTTTCGATTAACACTGAAATTTTTACTATTTGAACTATTCAGACTTCCCAAATATAAAGATAAATGCAGTCAACATCAGACTAACAATGACTCTTTCAAATTTTTAATGTGGTTCGCCTCATTACATTCTTGTATACTGGCAAAGCTGCCTTTCAGGCTTTGCCACAGCCGAACTTTTTGCTAATACAGTCGTCTTATTGAAAGTAGCCCCTTCAGATTTTCAAATGGCTCGCCTCGTCATACTCCTGTATTGCAACAAAGCTGCCTCTCATGCTTCGTTCTGGTCGCAAACGTATTGATTCAAGCAAACGCTGGTTGCAAGATGGAGATGATAGATTTGGAAGAAGTAGGAGCTCAATTATTGCTGTTTTGGACCTGCAATAGTGGCAGGAAGTCCAAAAGATTTTTAGCATCCGAAATTGTAAATGTTGTGTACATCTACAGGGCATATTTGGAACTCCTATCTCGAAGAGAGAAAAACCTTGTCTGCCTTATCAGTTGCACTTCCAGAGAAGTTTTATTTGCGAATACCTCACAGGCTCCAGGTAGGAGCATTATGTGAGGGGGACTATACAATAGTTATTTCAAAAGAACACAAAACAAACTAAAAGAGTTCAAAAGCCACGTATTATACAATTGCTAAAATGTTCGGTAACATGCACTGTAGTAATATGACACTATCATTCGTTATACATTTTGAACGGTTCTATATGTTAATGTACAATGATTGAACACAAATATAATATACTTGCTTAGGAAACACAGTCATATATAGTTAGTATTTTATTCCTAAACGCCACGTCATCACGGATGCATACCACATCATCAGGAACGTTATTTCACTGAACTATGGCACGTGCTAGCGCGGATGCGTTAGATGCTTGGGCGCGGCCAAATGACGAGCAAAACTATGCTAATTATGAAGCCTGCGAGATGTGTGATGGGGCTTTGTTAGTGGCAATGTATTTACGTGCGTGCTGTAGATGACTTAATGGAATAAACATAGAGTAGCTATCTTCCTGCGCAATTCCAGGGATGGTAGTGATAACGAAGCCTTCGGGTTAGTCACACTGGAATAGCGATTGTAGTTACACGCAATGAAACATGCAGTGCGGTTTTGCACAGATTCTAGTCAGTCGATGAGATAGACTTGGTGAGGTGACCAGATGGTTGATGTGTATTCGAGTTGCGGACGAACAAATGTTTGATATGCTAGTTTAGGTGTTATGGATGGCGCCATATGAAAATTACGTTTCAGGTATCCGTGTGTGCGCGGCAGAAATTTTTCAATGTGCATTGACCAGGATAGATTCGAAGTGAAATTAATGCCAAGGTACCTATAGTGGTCTGTTGCCAATATAGGTTTATTGTTGAGGGAATATGTGTAAGTCGAGTTTGACTGCTTTCGGCTGAATGTCATTAGTTTACATTTTGCAGTGTTTACCGCCACCTACAATGTTGAGCACCAGAATGTTATTTGGTCGAGATCCTGTTGTAATGCCAGATGGTCTGCTGGACTTGAAAGTTGAAACAGGAGAAGAGGCTGAGGGAACAGCATCTCTGCTTTTCGTGCATAAAGTGTTATCGACATGCACATAAATACAAAAGTCTCGACATTTCCTCATTCTTGATAAAACTATGAAATACCACCCTGCTAGCGCTTTATCAACCTAGCAAAAAGAACACTTTCATGTTGATATATCATAGGAATATGGTTACAAATCCTCTCCAGCTTTTTTGTTGGATGCAAAGCAGCTCTGTGACTTGCCTGTTTAACTCTGTCCGTCTGCATCTCCGTGCCCAGGCACTGCACTGCCCCCTCCCCCCCAGTTGTTCTCCTCCCAACACACCTAAGTAGTGCTGTTCCTCCGCCCGCTCGCAACTCATTTCTCTCTCGCTTCACCCTCTCCACTGCCCGCAACGCTTGACCACATGTCGAGTGGAAACACTCTTATGGCTCATTTACCTGCGATGAAACTTACACGAAACCCAACCCGCCTCCTGTGTCCTTCATACCGTTTTTCCAGTGCCCGTGTCGACGCCTGTTTCAGCCAGGTCAACAGCATGCGCACTGCTCTTGCTTCGCATTTCATCATAGTTCCCTTCGGGGAGATGGTCCATAATTTTTTCCAGCAATTTTACTTGATGCTATTAGAATATTCTGTAAATGTTTGAGGAATAGTAAAAAAAATATTCGATTTGATTTGCACTCACACTTCAATATCCAAATTCGCTTTGCATTCTAAATTTTGCTGCTTACACAGCCCAAATTGTTACGCTTTTTGACACATGCATGCCTGCTTCAAAATGGCATTTTCTCGCTACAAACTATTTTTATCTTCTTTTATGATATCACTGTAAGTGGCAAACTTCATCAAACATATCTAATCATCACAAGACGATTCTGAACATGGAACAGCATCCAGTTGGATCACGCATGAAAGGTGCCTCACATGTGCAGTACACGCGGAGCCTGGCAGCCAATGCGCACCTGAGCCCAGTGTCGCCTGGAGTGACACCTGTCTACTGGGAGTGGGACTTCGCTCTTTGGCTGCATCCATTGCCAGACGCAGTGGTCTGCTTCGACGCCTGCGATGCCTTTACCGTCGAACATGCAGGATGTGTCTTCTTTAACCCCGTGAGTAGCTGGTTCAAGGAAATAGTGCCGGTACATATTTTTGGGTCTTTATAAGCTCAGGCACATAATAGCATCATATTTAGGAGAGCTTGGAAAACAGTTGCAAAAATTTATAATTAACATTAAAATGTTCTTCGTATTCTTGGCCTGGAGCTGCCAACATTATTGCAATCGCATGCATGATTCTCTTGAACAATGTATAAAATTAAACAAGAGACAGGTCTATGCAGATAAACATATTGAAAACTTGGGTGTGTTGACGTAGCATTGTAAACCGCTAATGCTCAGTCGTGGCAAAAAATTGCAGCATATTCATGATGTGAATGATGATCAGTAAGCAAACCTCTGAAGGATCATTCGGGTAACTTTCAATCTCCTGTATGTTGCCCACTCGAACGTGCAAATTAGTGACAACGCGTGCGTACAGTGTATACAGCATTGTTTTATTGGTCATAGATAGTATTAAGGTGTGGACTTCGTTTTCCAAGCATTAAGACTGCCTTTTAATCAGTGAAATGAAGAGCTAAGGGTTCTTGGATAGGATGTAGACTGAAGTTCGCAAAGGTGAAGTCTATACGTTTATAGTCATATGAAGTGCAACTCTGAAATCATTACATCATATGCTACACAAGCCGGTTGTCGTTCATGATATCAGAATTATACTCACTAGTCAGTATGATGAAGTCGCTCTTGTTTTTCATTTATCTATTTATTAATTTATACCTTCCAGAGACCAAAAGGCATTCAGTAAGGGGCAAATACAAAATATAGAAAAATACATCAATAAATACACGGAAACAAATAAATGAAGAATGTGTAAAATAAGTTAGAGAAAAAGTTATAACCAGCAAGAAATGTAGAAAAACTAAAGAAGAAACGAAAACATGTAGGTATATTTAGTAAGAGAGCAATAGAATTTTTATTAAAAAACAAAAACAAAATGACACACCTGGCACACGCTAGCAAAAAAGTAATAAATTTATATTAAAGATGTAGTACCACTTTGCAGAAAAAAACAATAAATGGTGACGATATGATGCTATTTCGAATAATATTTATGCAACCATTTAAGAAATGCTTGATGGTCAATAATAGATGCAATTTTATCAGGAATGAGCGATGGCTCAAAGAAGTGCAGATGAATTGGAAGCATGAGTTCATTTACTTATGCTTTTAATGCTATATTTATTATGTTAGCGGCGTGATATTCATGTGGGCGCTTCCTACGGAAAGGGAGATGGCCTGATGCTGAAATCTATGTCCTTTCATGCTGTTTACAAGTAAATTATAGGGTTCTGGTATATTTAAAGAGTGCTTGACAAATAACCGGTTTTCTGTAAAATAAAATACATTCACTAGATCATGTGCACGTTGCTTGCATGATATGCACATACCAAATTTTCTTGGCATTGTAACTATGGGTTTGAATAAAACTTCAATGTGAAAAGAAAAAAGTATAGGACCAGGAAAAAAATATGCTCACAGGAAACACTCACTCACCACTGAAAGGTTATCGCACGTGTTAAAAAACATGTAAAAAAAATGGGCGTGCATCACGTTTATCACAAAAAGGCATAAAAAGGCAAACAACCCAGGCACGTGTTTGCAGTTGATTAATAAGGTTAAGCTTCTTGTGTTGTAATGATAGAGAAGGTTAATTGACTTAAACAAAGTGTGGTGTTCTTTGTGATATGTCTCCCAGATTTCTCGCATGGTCTGGTTCGAGTGACTGTGCAAGATTGCCAGGCCTTCAAAGATGAAATTGCATTTGCATGACTGAAGATGCGAGGTGCGATGGGATGGCTTCATTCAATTAATTTTGATACTCTCTGAGGCGTGTGTTGATACATAAACTAAATGTATATATGTGAATACATGAGGAATATAGTAAGCAACTCTTGCACAACAATTGAAAGAACAGTTGGCATGCGTCTCATAGTACTTTTTATAGCCACTGCAGACCCTTGCGACCTTTTGCCCTCTAGGGAAGAAATGTTACTAAGCTTGTGGTGCGGAAAACACAACTCTCACCTCATATCGCTTGCCTATTTCCTTTTAGACTGTGCAGAATGTATGCATGTAATAACCGCAATATTCCTAGTTCTTTCGCGGATGAAGGTCGTCGTAATTAATCTTTGTTTGTGGTGCGGATGAACCGATGCAATATGATATAAGCAGGGCATCGGGCCTTTTTGCAGCTGGAAACTATTGCTCAGGTATAATGTGCCCCCCCCCCCCTCCCCTTTTTCTTCTTTTCCAAGCCTAAGTACATGATCATTGGTCCTCATTGAACAATATTTGAATGCACCAGTGTGAAATTCAATAGTGGTCTCACTCAATGCAGAATATACTGCCAGCAAACATGCTCCGCAGAGACACTTAATCATTGTATAAGAGACTGCAAATTATTAGAGCAAAGTATCTCGCATGTGAGTTCTAGTTCTATGCATTGATCTCTAAACTTGTTTAGAATTTGTTTACTTTTCTTTTTTAAGCACGTGGCTTGTCCATAAAAATTTTAAAAATTCTATAGCTGTAAGACTTCTCTGCAGTCTTCCGTTAACGGCCCGATTCAAACCACAGGGATACCACTTTTGCACCACTGCGCCAAATCAGATTTATTGCGCCATCCTGATAATATGTGCGGAAATTGCGCTAAACTGCGCTCAAGTCGGATTTGGGGTAGTCTATCACTGGCAATAGCCACGCCGGTGCTTCAGTACATGTGCACCTTGTTCTCGGGGCCACCAAAATAGCAATCATGTACTTATTTTATTACGCTGAATAAGCAGCGGTCGCGCGTGCGTCCTAAAATTCACAATGCTATGTTAGGTGCCGACGCCACTCAGTGTTATGCAAGTCCAGGTTAACGGCAAAACACGCTCTCCGCAAGGGCTCCTGACGTCCAATTCAATCAGTAGCGTGAAACTGGCGGCGATTCATCGTCGGACGTTGTCTGTTCTAGTAATGCTGCTGATAGCTCGTTTGAAGAGTTGCACGGCATGTCACAAAGTAATTTTCTATAATAACTACACGCGTGCCGCCAGAATTTCTGTCATGTCTATGTCTGGACATCAGGATCTGATTTTCCGTGCTTTGCGTTCGCAGTAGAACACGTAAATAGTAGGAATGCATTGACACTTTTCCTCTAATATACTTTATCCATGGATCATTATACAGAAGAGCTGTTTTGTAATTCCTTCCACCAGCACATACATCCGCATTTATTATCGCTGTGGCTGTAAAAGCACCTAGAAAACCCTGCCCTTTCGAACTCGAGGTTGCTAAGGTTCGAATCGAAAACTCTTGCGCGCTTTCTTTTTAAATATCATTTCATTTATAAAAGCATGCTTCCTTGTTGGAGCAGCCGCAATACGGTTTTTATACGCGCAGCTATAGTGAGGCCATCACTGGTGGCTCTGGTGTCGGAAGGCCTGTGAAGCGGCTATGCCTTGTTAAACATCCGCTTCTTGTGTTCCAGAGTCTCGAGTTCCAGAGTCTTGTGTTCCAGAGCTGGCGGTAAAAAAAGAAAAAAAAAGGAGCATTAGGGCATTGCATTTATTGCTTCGTTTTGGAGAGAGGGGTGGAGGGGACATCACTGCGTTGCTTGAAGTAGCTGGGGCGTACTATCTTGAGGCATATTGAAACTGCTCGTGAACTTTCTGTGCTACTAACCTCTGCTTCGCATTTAGATAACTGACAGCATGAAAGTTTCATCAACTAGAGTGATCATTTTTCCTTTAGCCAGCGTTTTTTTTTAGTTACGCGAAATCGGCAATATCAGATCTAAAGGCTATAATTTGTTAGTTTTACTGACGCTCTTAGCAATGAAAGTGATACTAATAAATAATAAATTGCATAGTTATACCAAATAATAAAGCTTGACGTCACCCGTGAAAAGCACCAGAGGCAGGGTTGCAATTTCCAAGGTCCGCACACTCGCAAAAACTTGCTGCACGCGCGGTGTTCGATATCCGCGACTTGGTTGACTAGAGACCCCCGAAATAGCTCTTGCACGTCGATGCACGTAGAAATAGATCAGACTTGTCTAGAGTGCCCAGCTGGCCGCTCCAGCTAGCATTTTCTTCAATATTATGTAAAGAGAGATGCCGTAATGCCACCAACCAGCTTGTAGCTAACGTGAGACAGAAAGTAAACCTAGCTTGTAGCTAACGTGAGATAGAAAGCTGCGACCAAAAACAATGTTGACAGGCACCCGCTCCGCTGGTCTAGACCAGTGTGATTCTATCTGTTCTGCACGATCAGCACGTACGAATGGACCTCCGAAATGGCAAGACAATGGTGTGGCCACCTTGAGATCAAGGCTCAGTGCTGCTCTAGAAAGCGAAGCACTTTTCACACCGTCTGTTTGCGTTGAGAGTACAAGGTACAAGGGTATACAAGCCGTAAATAGCGTGTGTGCCAGCGATCACATCCTTAAAGTCAAAGTTAATAACATCGCCCCCCCCCCCCCTCTTTTCCCCGATCCCCCTCACATTTCTAGCTCTCTCCTGTTCCTCTGACATGAGCGATGCGTTCCTCTCTGCTTGAGTAACAATCGATGGGAGGCTCTGCACGCAGGGTGTATCGCATCTGCCCTCAGTAGAAAGGAGATAGGTCAGCTCATATCTCTGCTTTAGCCACGTTCGTCGCCTCCGCTTGCGCGCTTTTACCCACGTGTAAAATATAATAAAATAACCCCCCCCCCCCCCCCCGCCTCCGAATTTTTTTCAACGTGGCAGATATTTCGCAAAATGACCCTTTGCCTCCCCCCCCCCCTTCAGATCAAGGTAGGTGCACTCCCTTTCCCCCGCCAGAAATTTTTAAATTTTTGGTTACACCTCTGGAAATGAGAAAAAACCAGTCTAAAATGTCTATATAATTGCTATCCCATTAAAAAGAAAAGGAATCTTGCCTTTGAGTTGTCTTAGTCGAATGGATAAGGTACCCTATGAGATTTTTTTATGCGCTGCTTTTCCGAGGACACGGTAAGGGGGTTTTTTTTAGTCTAGACAGAATGCCCTAGCCACATAAAGTATTGCTGCAAAAAGAAAATGAAGCTTGTTAAGTTGTGTAGTTTCAGCACAGAGATGAGTGCCTGGAGGAGGTTGCTTTCTGAGACTAGCTGAATGCCGTCATTTTACGTCTAGCAGTCTAATCAGTTGTGAATGAAAAGAACCTTTTTTTTTATTTTTGAAGTCATATTAGGAAAATGTATTTGGGACTGTGTGAGTCTCTAGTGTTGTACGTCACAGCGTTTATCTACCATATTTGCTGATAGCCACCTAGGTGTATTTATATTGTTATTTCATGAAGTACAATTTTATTCAACCAGTATTTGTTTATTTGCTGCAGAAATAGTCACTGAACAAGTTTTTCCAAAATGCTCAACACCATGACGTCATTATTTTTGTATCACCAACTGAAATAGGGAGTGCTTCTAAGATGATTGTCTCAATGAAATTTGCAATGAATCTAAATATTTCTAGCCCTCCACAAGAGCCTCATAATGGTTTTTCACATGCTTGAATGTACATGCAACTTGCTTCTCTTCCAAGATTGAATTTAGCATCTACAGATTGCTCCAAAATAGAAAGTTTCACTACTTCAAAGGGCTCCAAATGAAAAATTTTGCTGCTCTAACATGCCCCAAAATAAAAATTTTGGTGCTCCAAAAATTACTCCAAATCGGAAGACCTCGGTGGCATCAATAATGCGATAGTTGCGCCAAACTGCGCCAAGTCGGGAAAGCTGCTACATCCTGCTACATTTCCTTCTTTCTGTGCATGGTTAGGGGTGGCCTGTGACCTTCCAATGTTGACACGTGGGAGGAAAATCAATGTCCGGCAAGGAAGGGGGGGAGGGGGGATACAGTTAGACTCTGATTTATGGGTAGGCGCAGACAATAGTCCCCAGACTGTTGTGAATTAGCGTGACCCGTCGAAAATGCATCTTGGCCCCGCTGCGGTGGTCTAGTGTCTCAAGTACTCGGGTGCTGCGATGCAAGTCGCGGGATTGAATCCCCGCTGCGGCGGCTGCATTTCCGATGGAGGCGGAAATGCTGTAGGCCCGTGTGCTCAGATTTGGGTGCACGTTAAAGAACCCCAGGTGGTCGAAATTTCCGAAGCCCTCCACTATAGTGCCTCTCATAATCATATGGTGGTTTTGGGACGTTAAACCTCACATATCAATAATCCAAAATGCACCTTGGACGGAACGGCTTACTGCAAGCCGGTGTCGGAGACTCCGAGCTAATCCTGTTTGGCCGATAGATAAAAGACAGCAGGGAGAAACGGCTGAAAGCTAAAAGGGCCGTGAGCTAGCGAACCAGTTTAAAACTTCTTTGTAACTCATTGTCAAAGGTCAACTCAGACTTACCTAGTACAAATATTAAGGGCGGACGCGGCTTTCGTATCGAGAAATGGCAAAAAATTCAATTTCTTGAAAATGAAGTTTTCTGTTTCTGGAGCTCTTTTTCTATCAGATTCCAAATTATCTATCCTGAAAATTGTGCAGAAGTGCTTCGAATATTGATTTCAGCCTCCTAGGTAGCAAAAATATTTCTGTAAATCGCGAAAAAAAAAGCGATTTTCAGTAACTTATAGCTTCGCAATGGCGCGGACGGGAGCAGGCTTCTTGGGCTCATAGGAAAGAGTATTTCTCCGTGTTCGAATTTCCCACCTTAGCTGGCTCCTCCCTTTAGAAACGAGCTCACAAAAAGCAAATGTTTGAAGGTCAGTTCGAGGTCCCTGATTGGTTGTGGCCGCCATGTTGCCCCAGCTCACCTCGCCATTGGCCTGATTCTCGCTCTGGGAAATCGTAGTCTACTATTTTTGCATCACGAGGGCATGGCTGTCGAAAATGGCTACTTTGTGACGTGTTCAAGGCTCGACGATCACTTAGAATATAATTTCGCTTTAGTTAGGAATTGTAAGCTGATGCTTGCTGAGATTACTATGAGCGGGCGCGCAGTCTACAAGAGCGGTGCGTCACAGGAGTCGTTTTTAGGCTTAACTCTGCTGACGGTGACATGAACCAAGGCCTCCTCTAAGAAGATGCCTGCCGCATGAGAAAAAAAAACAGGTGCCACACCCTTTCCCTCCTTCATTTTGAAAATGTTCTCGGTCGCTAGCGTCACCTGTGGCGGACGGTGCAACAACGCAACACTTTGCATAGCCTCCGAAACAGTGGTGCACAGTTGCAGGTCTCGAACAACTCTCGACTGACGCGCCCCTATGGGCCGCAGATGAAAAACGCTTAGCTGGTACCGCCCGTCGCCGTGATGATAGTGTCGGTCGCGAGTGCCACCGCGCGGAGCTTGTTTAAAACTGAAGGCAGGCCAACTCCGCTGGGAGCGCGAGCCATTCCTCAGGCATCTTTCTAGAAGAGGCGTTGCATGAACCTTGAGGGCGAGAATGACATGCTAGCATACTCGTGGAAACATGCTTCTTTTCAGGTAACAAAGCACATCACGCACTAGCTCGTCGGAACCGTGGACGGGAATTTTACGATTCGGCAGTAAACCATAGTCAAGCTCGTCACCCTCTCCCCACCCCTCTACTGTCAAGATTGCTCGGAACAGCGGTCAGCAGTTTCACGCGTCGGCACTCGAAAATGCGATACCAAGCACAGTGCGCTCTGTTTTGTTTTGTCGTCGTAGCTACACATTTCGCGCATTGTCACGGAACCCCGCCGCCAAGTGCATCACGCTTCGTCTGCACAGTCCACGCAGCCGCGAACTTCATGGTCATATGGAGTGCTGTCAATAAGCTTTTGTGATGCGATTTAGACGTGCTTGGTGCCGTGCCTGTTTTCGCCACGAGCGTCTATGAATGTTCTGAGACAACGAAAGCCCCGTAGATAAGCGTTTTCGCGACCCATAAGAACTGAAGCTTTTCGGTGGACCGTTTCGCTCACACCACGTACTGGATGAGACTCGAGCGCATCTGTACTGCCAGTCTTGTTGAAGGAAAAACACGACTCTCTGCAGCCCTTGACCAGATGTCAGGCAAAAAGACAACCAACCAGACAACAGCTCTCCTGCAATTAAAAAAGAAGTCAAACAGTGTTGCTAGTCTTGAAAAAAATTCCGTAGCGATTTATTTGTTCTTCAATAGGAACTGCTCTTCTACATTATTTTGGTGGCCAGAATGCAGCACCATTTCGTAGTTGGTTGCATCATGTATTAAAAAATTCACTGGAAGTTCAGAATTAGGTTGGGTTAATATTCAGTGATGTTATACAAACATCTCCAAACATCCATTATTGCACAGAGCTTCCTAATTCAAAAGCATTCCTCTTTAGTTCACTGCTTTACTTCACATGGCCAGTGTCCCACTTGGCAGTGAGCCTTAACTCTTTCGTTACCACGCGAAAATGGTTGTTCTTCTTTTGTCTCAAGAATGTCATTTTTGCCAGTTTGAAAAGTACTCCAGCACACATTGCAGCATACCAAACTTTGCACAATGAAATGCTCTTCCCCAAAAAATATATGTTGTAAAGCAACAAAAATT